CCCACTGCTGTACTCACCCCTCACTGCAGCCCTCACCCCTTATTGCAGCCCTTACCCCTCACTGCAGCCCTCACCCCTCACTGCAGCCCTCACCCCTCACTGCCGTCCTCACCCCTCACTGCCGTCCTCACCCCTCACTGCAGTCCTCATCCCTCACTGCAGCCCTCACCCCTCACTGCTGTTCTCACCCCTCACTGCAGCCCTCACCCCTCACTGCAGCCCTGATCTGGAACTCCACAGATCCCACTTTTCTGGGACTACACATTTCCTATAAAGCAACCCATACACCAGCCCTTCAACCAGGTGAAATGACATCTGTCACCGAGCTGCTCTGCTCCCAACATGAGCTGCTATCATGCTCACATCTGTCCATCCTGTTCCCTGCTTTTTCTTCTCTCCGAGTTCATAAACCTACAATGTCAGTCTAAGTCCACAGCATGTCAATGTACTCACAGTAGCTATGGGCGAGAGTGAATTGGCGCACAGACAAGCTGCCCCACAAAGGCAGCAGGAGGGACTGTACCCCACCTCACTCAGGGGCCCGGCAGGACCCACAGAGACACCTACTTTGGGCTTAGCGATTTCCTTGATCCTCTCGATTTCTTCATCCGACATGACGTCATAGTATCTGACAATGTGCGGACTATCCCATTCATCTTCCTCTTTGAAGGGGGCGATGAGGAGCTGTGGCACCCTGTTACCATGATGGTACCTACAGAAGAGCTTCTTCTGCCTCCGGGGCGTCTAGGGAGCACAGAACATGGGTCCTGAGCGGAGTGAGTCCTCACGCTCAGCGTCAGTCCAGCTGTCTGCACAGGCTGGTTTCATCCTCCGTGGCCAAGGCTGTCCTCAGCTTCACCACAGAAGAAAACCAGAGTAGGAAGTGATCTCACACAAACCATGCAGCTCCCCTTCTCCTTGAAGATCACCCCATTTCCACAATTCCTGACCATTTTCATGGAGATTTGATTAGGCCTGAAGCACTGTGGCTGGGGACAATCCTTTCCAGATGGAAAATAATCGGAAGCCAATGGGGGGGGGCGCAGAAAAGGGGAGCGCCTCCCTCAACACTGAGCGGTGAGGATCAGTGGAACCCTCTCAGAAGCCAGGGACACAGACACCAAGCCCCGGCAAGTGCTGCCATTTTCACCACTGGGTCTTTCTTGTCCTTGACACCATGACTTCCCTGGGGGCCTGAGGCCTATCTACAACCATCATTTCCCTCAAACCAATGAGTCAAACGTTAGGTAGGCACACTGGGTGAGTGGGGAGTATAGCAATGCCTTGGAGGATGGGAATTCTCCCTAGAGCCCCCATGGAGACAATCTCCTGTCCTATGCATCAGAGAACCCCCACCTTCTAGCCTCAGAAGATGCTGAGCAAGGAGCAAACCGACAATGGAACTTCCCAAGCTGCCTGCCCAGAGTCAGCACCCAGATCCCCAGCCTGGCCACCCACCCTTTCCCAGGTCTCACCAGTTTGACGCCCTCCCCACGACACAGGCTCTCATACACATCCCTCTCGGGGAGGTAGTCCACGGGCCTCTCGTACAGGTTTTCCTGGGTCGCCAGTCCAGCTTCTGTCTGATTGAACAATGATTTTTCTCTTTCTTCCTCTAGCAGCCGCTCAAAGTACCGAAGATTCCCGCCAGCTCGTTCATGGCTTGGGTCTAGAAAAAGCGAAAAGTGTGGACAAGAAAACCACAAACATCTGTTAGGGTCGTTTACAGGAACTGTTCTGTGAGCCGCTCCTCTCCCAGCAGCCCGCTGATAGGCTACACTCTGCTGGCTGCAGCACCTAACGGGGGTGCGTCAGCCAGCGCTTAAAAGCCAACAGGGGCTTTCTCATCGTGTCCAGTGATGAGGGAGATGTGTCATTAAAGCGAGGCACATTCGGCTGGTAACTAGGGGTTAGGCAGAACTCTCATCCTCTGGAGTCCCACCTCCTTGTGATTAGCTGTAGCTATTTAAAGCCATTCCCCAGAGTAGTAGCCAACCAGTCTAGTGACCACATCACACACTGGCAACAGATGGGAGACAATCTGAGACTGGTAAAAAAATAAAATAAAAATAAATAATAAATAAATAAATAGGAGGGCTACAAGGCAGGCCAGAGGGCTCAGCAGGTAAAGGCGCTCACTGCGAAGCCTGACAACCTGAGTTCAATGCTCAGGATCCACACAGCGTAAAAGGAGAGAACACTCCCTGGAGTTGGCCCCGACCATATAGATGTACACTGTAGCACTTCTGCATTCACCCGCTTACACAATCAACAAACAAACAGAAACAATAAATAAATAAATAAATTGCAATAAACTTTTATTTAAAAGTAGAAGAGCCACAGCTCTGGAGGACAACACAGTATCTGGAGCAACAGCCACAGCAGGATTTCCACATCACTCCCCAGATAACAAATCTGAGGCTCAGAGAGGCCCAGTAACTCAAGACGAAACCATACAGAAGAGTCGGGTGTCCTGACTCCCTGTCCAAGGCTCTTACTAACTCACACAACAGATTCTACAAAACCCTCTGGCCACGTTGGTCTTGCGGGGTGCTCAAATGCTAACTGGCCTCACACGCAGGCTCCCTGGGAAGCAGTGGCAGAGTCAAGTCTTCACTGCTTTGTGAAAGTCCAGACGATAACATTCCCACGTATTAGCATGGGGTGCGATTAACAATGCTCTGGGCCTTTTTCTGTCCCACGTCACAAGACATACAGAGTACAAGCGGCACGCAAAGGCCTAGGTTAGACTTCAGGACACCAAGAGCTAGAATTACTGTCACTGAAGTCATCCAGAAGTACAGCTTGCTTCTCAATCCGTACTTTACACGGTGAAGGGTCTACCCTGCAATGGTACAAGCACCACAACACTAGGTTTATTGTTAAAAGTGCCACAGTATGCACGCATGTGCACATGCACTTACATATATATGCTCAAGCACATGCATGAGCAACACACACATATACACACAAGGATGACAAAGGTCTTTGAACGCCCATCATCAGCTGGACATGGCCTAACAGGAAGGCTGTGAGTAAGGAGCTAGTCGGCAGTTGGAAAGGCAGTTGAAATCACTAAGACACACTCATCCCTGGCCAGGTGACAATCCAACCGATTTAGTTCTAAGAAATGATCAAGCAATGTATCCAGAAGAGTCAAGTTCCCTTACTAGGTCCAGTCCCTAACCTCCTTACCAAGAGAGAGCAGGCGGCGGGTGAGCTCCACAGCACGGTGCAGGTCACCCAGCTGGAAGACAGCATAGCTCAGGTAGTCCAGCACCAGGGATTTTGTGATGGTGGCCTCCTCCCCAGCGTCGAGCTGCTTCAGCACCTGCTCCATCCACAGCACAGTATGGTAATAGTCTCCTTCATTGTAGGCTGAGCGGCCCATTCCAAAGCAGTCGTCCACACTCAGCACGGCCTGGTACTTTGTTCCTGTAGCAGGAATAGCAACAGTCAGGCTTGGAAATGCCTCTGGGTGAGGAAGGCAGACGCTCACTTTGGAGAAAGAAAGCCTGGGCCACTGAAAGACGGACATTATCCAAGCAAAATCCCACCCAGACTTCATGCCACACACCATGAAATACCGTCAATATAGAGAGCATAAACAGGACGGTTTAGCTGAGGTTCGAGGTCATAGTCAATCTCGAAGCCTCAGACTCCTTCTCTCAAGTAGAAGGGGCATTGTGAGATCAGGAATCCCACCAAGACATGGCCCTGAGGTGTCAGTGGGTATAGGTCCTGTAGATCAAAATGAGAGCTGTTGGGGGGGGGGGGGGCACAGCGGGTCATGGAAGTCTGAAGAGCAGAAAACTTGAATGAATTTAAGAAAGGGTTTCAGGTGACATGAAAGTCATGGACAAGGACAGTCACAGGTAGGAAGTCTGAAAAAGGAAAGGACAGAGAAGGTTCGAGCTTAGACCTCAAGGGAACACAGGCGGAGTAGTATGAGAAGGACTAAGGGGAAGAAGAGACGGGTAATGGAAACAGGTGACGGATGCCAACGGCAACAAAGAACCGAGGCTGGGATCCAGCAGGGATGTTGGAGCATCAGCTCAGCGGGCCTCGTGCCTGATAGGACCTCTGCCTACAAAGTGGCTACAAAGATGGTTTCAACCTGAGGAACAGCGGCAGCTGCAGGGAGATGTGGAGCTTGGGGTGGCAAAGACTATGTGTTCCTCAGGGGATAATGAGAAGGCAGCTCCCACAGAACGAAGAGGGCTAGGCACTCCCTGCAGCCACCCGAGGCTCCCTATTCACAGCTACCAGGCACGGATGGCATGCTAGGACTGTTCGCACATCCCCCACTTCGCCCAAGATCTACAATGAGCCTCTTCCCAGGAGGAAGTCCTGCTGCAGGGTGGCAGCTGCTGCAGAGACCAAGGACTGTTTATTCTGGTGGCCCAGAATCTGACACCGTGGGATAGAAAGTCAGGAGAGTAAACAGAAGATGGAGTCATAGATAGGCCAAGCGTTGGGGCTTATGGGACCGCTCTTTCTCCACAAGTCTCCATGGATCTCCATTGACTCTTTGGATCCAGGAATCTATTACAACAGGCTTAACACAGATAAGCAAGCTGTGCTCTGGACCTGGACAGAATCAGATTGCTGCATCCCTACCAGTTGTATGACTCTGGACAATTCACCCAGTCTCAGCCTTAGTCCCTAGCTAAAAGGATACGCTACCTACCCAGTCTATCTAAATAGAGACACCAGAACCTGTTTTAAAGGGCTGTGCCAAAAATCCATTAAGATGATATATGGGGATGTTGCCTCAGGATGTTAGAGATCAGCAGCTACAATCAACATGTCTTATGAATGCCAAGAATGTGAGGAATGATGTCCATAACTCAGCATCCTCCTCAGAAGGAAACTCAAGTGTCTGCTCCATGAACAGTGACAGCTAGGCTGAGTGCTGAACGGCTATCAGACAGGGAGGCGCCCACAGTGGGTAAGGGTACTAAAGCCGAGAGATGGGAATGCTGGGAACAACAGGGAAGCAGGGAGCAATGTCCCATGGAGGCAGTGGGACCTCAAAGACCACCTAGAGGGAGACTTTGGGGTCACTTCTGAAAGCTAAGTATTAAACTCAAATGGATAAACGTATACTTAGGAGCAGACAGAAAATTGTCCTAAGTGAGTTGGAGATATGCAAAGGGCCAGAGGGCATTAGAGAGACAGAATTCATAAACTTTACGATTACGGCTTAGGCTGCCAATGGGCAGAGGTGCTTTTTGCTAAGGGAATAGGTAAGGACAGATGGGAATTGCAATTTGGCACAAATGAAGTTTATGCAATCCATGGAATGTCCAAGTAGAGATGTCTAGAGGTGCTCGCCTATTCTGGTTGGAGGCCCAGGAGACATGCCTTGACAAGGAACACAGATCTGCATGTCATCCATGTCGGGCAGCACATCAAGTAATGAAAACAGTGGGGCTCCCCTGAGGAAGGGGTTCAGAGCGAACAGTGGGTGAAGTTCTCGGGAGTAACTCGCTTTGCCCTCTGGCCCCATCCAGGACACTTGGGGGCCTGTTAACTGCAGAAGGACGCTGTCAATATACAGCTCCCTTCTCCCATCCACCACACTTCATAGCTACAAGGCAAAAAGCTCCCCAGAATTACCTCCTCACTCTGGCCTCATAGTTGGGTCTGGACCAACACCTGACTTAAACAGGAATAAAGAGAATTTATTAATCTGTTGTTAGCTCAGCAGAGTCCGCCACACCAAGACCCTGGGCCTTGAGTAGCCAGCTACAGGACAACTAAGGAGGAAGACAGGTCCTACATCACTTGGGTCTCTCAGCTGCATTTCCCCTAGGCTCCCAAGAAGTGAGGTGTTATTTAAATTATAATGAGGTCCAACTGAATTCTTGGGTTTATTGGTCTCAAATAACCCCCTAGATCCAGTAAATCTATAATCACTAGCCCTGGGCAGGAAACAGGCAAAAGGCCAATTAAAAAAAATCAAAAACAGAGGAATGAATGGCCAGACATGTGAAAAGAGAAAAGGCAGAGATCAGCACCCCAGAATCCAGGACATCAGACAGAAAGAAACAATCCCTGCCAGACGCTACAGCAAAATTAAAGAGTGTTGTGCTTGTAATCCGCCTGCTGGCTGTGCCAGCCCTGTGCTCCTGGTGACTTTGAAGAACAGGATCACAGAAAAGAGGGACAAAGGCACTGTGGGTTCAGAGGTATGTGAGAACCGGGGAGGGCGGCAGAGAAAATAAATCAAATCACCTACCCAGCAGTCTCAGCAGGAAAGAAGAAATGGACTCAAAAGAGCATTGGACCTAGAGAAGTATGAGTGATGAGCTACAGAGCCTTCTTGTAAGGTCAGGAGAGAGAGAGAGAGAGAAAGAGAGAGAGAGAGAGAGAGAGAGAGAGAGAGAGAGAGAACAGGGAAAGTGGGACATAAGAAATGGGGGACTAGGCAGAACTATATATGAACTCAAAGAGCTCAGAGAGGTAAGGACAGAATGGGAAGGGACAGAGACTGACTAGGGGAACATATGGGAGACACAGTGGGTCTACAGACCAGCCGTGGACAGGAGAAGCAATGAGAGGCTCAGGGATGGGAAGCAGGTCTGCCAGTTGATGGGCGATTTTCTGGGAGCCGGATGCTGAGGGAGACTCCTGAGCAACAGCCTCAATTCTCTATCATGCTAGAGGAGAGATCTTGGCTAGTACCTGAATCAAGACGTTGGGGAAGGGGTTGAAGATAGGAGACAGGCATCCAAAGGGACCCCAAAACCACCACCACCACCACCGACAGTGAGTTTCACCTAAGCCAGTCTGACCTGCCCGAACACTGAAGAGACAGAAGTAAATAGGGTACCTCACCTGGAAGATCCCCCCTGGAAATTGTGTCTGGGTCCAGTTTGTACGTGTCCTGAAGTCTCATCAGTGCTCTGGCGGCTCCAGACTCGTCCTCGTCGGTGGGGAAGAACTGCCGCTGCACGGAGAGGTTGGCGACAAAACCTTCCAAGTGACAGCGAGAAGAGAGGTCACTCTTGATCCCGGGGACAGAATTCTACCGGGGACCAGAGGCAGTCGCTAGAAGGTGTCTGGCTAATGGGATTTCCATGCCCCTTCTCTCAAAGGCTGTTGGTAGGCTGTAGGCTCAGTGATCGGAACACCTGCCTGGCATGCATTCGGGAGCCAGCACCAAAATAAGAGTAGAAAAAACAATAAAGCGTTCTCCTCCTTCAGAGAGTCCTCCCTGGGGGCTCCTTGGCAGAGCTTCTTTCTTAGCCCTCCCTATGCTGTTCATTTGGAACTAAAAGGTCCTGCACTGGGCTTAGCACTTGAGTCCAGAGTCAGCGTATGGGCTTGTGGTACCAAGACCACAGCCCAGAGAGTTGACCGCTGCAGTAGCCCCAGGTGACTTTTCTAGGGCCTCAAGACCTAGTCCCAACCAGAGACACAATTCCTGGCATTCTAGGACTCCGGGCCTTGCCATGCTAATGCTTCAGGCCTTAGAATCTGCCTAAGAGCTGAGGACTGGGAGGGGAACGCCAATGAATTCAGTCCCTGGCCCCTTTCCAAGGGCCACCTGGTGCCACCCCTTCTCCACATGGCAAGCCAGGGCCCAGGGATGAAAAAGCTGCTACATTGATCTTCTTCACAGCTATATGGTCAGGAGCTCTGAAGATGTTAGCATCCACAAAAAAAGAAAGTAAGCCTCATAGACAGCCACACTGTACTGTCAGGGCTCCCCCTTATTTGAGGGGCAAGCATTCAGCATCAGAGATGAGCATAAATAATTGCTCTCTGGGCCTGTCCCATCACCTTCCAGGTAATCCTAGCTCCCAGCTACTGACGGGAGGTGGCGGGACGACAGGATCAGACAGCAGATCATCTGAGTCTGTATGGGCTTCCTCGCCTACATCTCCTGCAAGCAGGAGGAACAGCCTGTTCTGAGCTGTTCTGAGCAGCAGGCCCAGCCCAGGAAAGGGAGGGGAGGCAGATCTGGGAAAGGCAGTGCCTTCTGGAGGCAGTGAGCTCTCAGGCACAGCTCCAGCAGGGCTGAGCTCACCAAACCCTCCCCTGAGACTACCCAGCCCCCAGTCAAGCCCAACCCCAGCTGGTCACGTGGCTGTGACCAGTCTCAGTCAGAGAGACAGCTAGTCTGAAGTTAATCAGCACTCCCAGCTCAGAGAAGAGGCCCAGCCTGAGGCTGGGAATCCCGTGGCCCACCTCCAGCCCACCCTTCCATTACCAAGATCCTCTCCTCTGGATCACAGGAGTGTGTTCACACACAGAAAGCACTAGACCAGAAGGAGCCTCTAGCAAATCCGTGCTCCGCCATGGAAAGACCATTTCTAGGAATTTAACTTAGAAAAATAACCGGAGGTCGACACCAAGATGCATGTAAAAGAGAGCTGAAAAACTGGACACAACCCGGGTGCAGTGAGCTGTCCAGGCTTAGAGAATATCACTGTGACAGATGACTACCCAGCCATAACAATCACGGCACAGGCACATTTAATGGCATCTGCAGAAGCTGGGAAACCCAGGACTGAGCACACATTTATGTTGAACCCACGCGGTCATGTTTTGTTGTAAAAGACACACATAGGAAAGAATTCAGATGACGTCTCTATTCCCCAGCTTGCCTCAGCCCCAACACTCAGCCCACCTGGTTCACACGTACGCAGATTCTTTTTGGTGTGTGTATGCATGTGTGGTGTTTGTAAATGTGTGTGTATGCATGGTCTCATATGGGTGGGCACACATGTATGCATGCGGATGTGCATGGAGGCCTGGGCCTTCTTCACCCTCAACTAACTCACTGAGGTAAGACCTCTCAATTGAGCCCAGAGCTCACTGATCAGCTAGTCTAGCTAGCCAGCTTGCCCTGGGAAATCTCTGCCTCTCGAGTGCTCAGATGATGCCAGACACACTTGCCTGGCTTTCCATGGCTTCTGGCGATTCAAACTTCAGTTCCCCAACTTGCATGGTGAGGGCTTTACCCACTGAGCCATCTCACAAGCTCAATATTACAGGGTTTCTTAAATATTTTTTAAAGTTTATTTTATGTGTATTAGTGAGTATTTTACCTGCATGTATGTTTGTGTATGTATGCATGCATGTATTAATGCATACATGTATGCGTACACACATATGCTGTGTATACATGTATGCATTATGTGTTTATGCATGCATGTATTGTACACACATATGCTGTGTATACATGTATGCATGCCTGGTGCCTGCAGAGGTCAGAAGAGGGTGTCAGACTAACTGGGATTGTAAATACAGATGGCTGTGAGCCACCATGTAGATGCTGAGGACCAAACTTGGTTCTTCTGCAAGAGCAGCCAGTGCTCTTAACCACTATGTAACCTCTCCATCCACCAAGATTATAGTTTTAATGGTGCTTATCATGGAGCAATTGGATTAAGCATCACGATTTTTATGTGATATATTTTGTGTTCCTGAAGTTTGTTCTAAAAAGATATATTTCTGAAGCATAATTAGAAAATGCCATTACCAGGAAGCATTACAAAAGAACAGGAAGTGACTGTTGGAACATTTTTAAAACAAACTAACAAGGACAGCTCCAGGCAGAAGCAGACAGGCACACAGACACAGCTGGTAGCTGCTCACTGCCCCTCACCTGCAGCTGAGTCCTGCAGGACAAGGTCCCCCAGTGCAGGCCACTCTGTGTTCAACCGCTTCACCAGCTTATAGGCATTCACAGGATGAGCCAGGTAGCCCTCGGGGTCAGCAGCTGACTTGCTGGTCAGGGCTTCCATTTTACTGGCCCAGCTGTAAAACCAAAGGGAAGAAGAAGAAAAAAAAAAAAAAAGACTACCACACCTACCCACACAGGATGGTAATTTCCTTGGTGAGGCCCAGGGCTCTTTCATCAAGAGATAATAAAACATGACTATAGTAACTTCCTAGATACTTCTAGCCCTTAATCTAGGTAAGAGCTGGGAACTCCAGTGTAAATTAAAATGTGTTAAGCAGAAAGAAAAAAGAGGGTTGCTTCTTAACCCGTAGACTCAGCAACTCTGGAGGAGCAGCACAAGTTAACTGCAGGTCGGCTCCTCTCGATGAATTCCTCTTACAGACACTTGGACAGGCTGGGGATGGGGGCAACAAGGAGACTGAGGGTGGGGTCTTAGGACACTGGACACCTCTTAATCTTGGAGAGCTTGGCTTCCTCCACAAGGATGTACTCCTTCAGAGACTGCACAAGGTCCTTCTCTGCATAAATCAGATCAGTCATGTGCCCTGCGGGAGAGAAGCAAGGGCCAGTGAGAAATGGACGAGGAGTGGCCTGCCCCAAATACCAGAACAGAAGTGAGTAACCCCAGGCAAGTGCATGTCAGTAAACTGGGAGTCATAGGGACTGGTGGTTAAAGGCACCTAGTCACTCACACGGGATGACCCCCAACTTGCTGAGGGGGCAAAAGGATGTCTGGGCAAAGTGTGGGTGCACTGGGGAGGGGACTAAAGGAGAAGTCTAGCTTCATTCTCCCCTTATCACCTGGTTTGTCCTATCGTAGGGGGATGGACACCCTAAGAGCTCATCAAATGCAAATCAGCTCTGATCTTCCAGTTGAGAAGGAGAGAATCTGGTCCTTGGGACAGAGAATGTCCACCGATTAGACCACCCTCTTGCGGAGGACCGAGAAAGACCTGAAAGCTACTTGCAGTCTGTACTTCCAGAAAGGAGGGTCCAACTCAGAAAGCTGCCTCCCAAGGCACACATTCATCAGGATGCATGGAGGTATGGGGGAGGAGAACCTTCGCAAGCCCCACCCTCCCTGGACTGGACCCTGTAAAGAACCTCAGGCAGTGACATCCCCTAGCACTTAGCTGAGGGCTGCTTAGGTAAACTAGAGTTCGGTTGCCACATACCAATAGAGGTGAAGAATTCTGCCTGCACCCGGCTCAGGGCTCCAAACCAGGACATCAGCAACACCAACACCTGGAGCTCCATGATGGGAAAGGGCAGTATCTGCAAGGCATTCAGGGACAGCCATCAGAGGGACGCGGTGGAAAGAGCACCTGCAACTGGGCATGCCTGTGATCTCAGCACTCAAGAGACAGTGTGAGGAAGAACAAAGTTCAAGGCCACCTGGGCTACATCCTGTACTGGGGTGGGGACAATGTACATGAGAGGACACATTCACACATGCTGGGCACAGACATATACATACCCTCAACTAGATCGCTAAATAAGGTATTCAAGATCATCCGAGGGAGGGATCACAACATGGAACTAGGGATATGTGCTCAATTCTGGCCCCTGCCTGGGTTTTATTTTGTGTTCCTTTTTAGAAACAAGGTCTCACTATGGAGACCAAGGTGGCCTAGAACTCAATAAGCCTCCTGCCTCAGCCTTCCAATCGCTAAGATTACAAGTGTGAACACCCAGCTTCCTGTCCGTCAGTCTTACTTTCTAATACATATGCCAGGAGAGTGTCAAGAGCCACATGTAAGACGGTCCAATGCAGACAGTTTGCTCCCAGGACATCAAGGTCATGGGGACATCATAGAGGAAGAAGCAGCTCTGCAGGGCCACTCTCCCCAAACCACTGATGCAGGTCGTACCATCCAGAATGTGACAATGGGCCTCCGACAGGGACCTCCCTTTGTACTTGAACTGAGGGCTGCACAAACAGATAAGAGTCCTGTTGTCACATATCAATAGAGGTGAGGAATTCAAGGACCTGGATGCCCTCCACAAGAAAGTGACAGAAAGGAACAGACAATGACAAAGAGAACCAAGATAGTGTGACGCAGGGGGCCAAGCCAAGTTGAAGTGTACGGAAGGCCGTCAACAGAAGAAGAGGAAAACTGACTTCTGCCCGTCTGCGCCTGCCGCGGAGAGCACTTTCTGAACAGACATGGCTCTTCCTGTGGTGGGGATCTAGACAGACACCTTCCCTGGCCACTCCCTACCCATTCGCAAACACTGACTTATACCCCAGAGATTGCAGGCACCAAGCTAGATGCTCAGGATACAAAGGTGATCAGTCGCACACAGTCACAACACTGGGGCCAGGCTGCTGACATGGGAGAGGCCAGGCACTGCCTTCTCAGCCACCTAGAAACAGACACGGTTCTGAGGGACGCCGCAGCAACCTGGAGCAAGCTTCACTGGCGGCTGGCCTAAGTACACAGTGGAGGCTTCAGACATGCTTCCCCATCTAAGCCACACAGCCCGGAACATGCTGGAAGGCCAGCGCCCTGCTGAACCCTTGTTCTGCCTATCCCTCCTCTTTGCGTTTCAACTCAGCCAAGTCTCTGAAACGGCTCAGATGGAAATTTACTCTAAAAGAAAGCAAAGGAAATAAATGGGACACAAATGCCCAAAACTATGTAGGAAAATCTCCAGGTTAGGAGGATCTCTGATGTGGGGGCCAGACAACTACCCCTCAAAGTGGGGGTGAAAAGAGAGCAGTTCAGGCCGGAGACCAGACCAGACCTGGATGAAGTGGGAGGGCTCCATGCACCTCCCAGTTGTGTGGCCAGTTCCAGTGCATACCTAGTCAGAAATCAGGCAGCAGACTCGGGAAAGGGGGGGAAGCCTTTTCATTCCTTCCAAATACCACCCAGAGTTCATACCTGACAGCGACTGGGAAAAGCAGCCAGGTCTCTTTATTACACGAGGGCCAGCTGTCATTTCTCTGGAATGTGCTGCCAGGCTTAGATGAGCCCATCCACAGATCCCAGCCTGGAGACACAGCCTCAGAGAGTCACACATGCGCTTTAGGAAGCGACTTACCAAGCAAGAGCCTTTCCAGTCCTGTTCTGGCTGGGGAGAGGAGTAGGAAAACTCTGCTAGCCAGAGAACGGGGTGCCCCAAGGCACCATTCTAATCAGGGCATCTGCTCATTTCTTCTGACCCCAGGATCCCTGAACTCAAAAGGCTTTGTATACAAGGTCCCCTAACTGGGGTCAGGTGGAGAGGACACACTTATCCAAGAGCAACTGCGCTCTCCACTGTGGGGAATGTCAACTCCGGTCTCATCACTTCACCCAGCACTCACCCCGGACAGACAAAGTGGGAATACGGGAGTCTGCCCAGGGCTGGCACTGTCAAAAGCTTCCCGGGGAGCTCTCAGAAATCCACAAAGAACAAACAATACAGGAGGTGGTCATGGTCAAATCCCTTTTTATGAAAACACGGCACCAAATAGGAACACTACTGAGCTTCATGGTCCACACCTCAGAGTTTGGAATAATGTCTGCCCTGTAGCAAGCCCCCGGGGAAAATCATCATGAATTTGTTCAGACAAAGAAACCACAACTAAAGAGTTTACACTCTGTACAGTAGATTAACATAGACTATGTAACAATAAACACTTTGTGGCCATCAACATGGAATGATCAAAGCAGACTGGCAAGGGCCAGACGTCAATAATCCATACTGTATGTTCCATTTTTTGAAAGAAAAAAAAATGATGTATGTATAAACATAAAAAAGAATCATACCATAACTGTATCTTGGTGAAGTAATTTTATTTTCCCTTTTATGTTTGTTTTCCTGATCTTTCTACAAGAAATCCTACTAGAACTAAAAAGGTACATATTTTTTGTGATATGTTGAATATGCACAGGAAACAAAGTAGGCCCTTCTCAACTGAACTCCAAAGGGGCCTTGGCAGTCCCAGTGTCTGGACCCCTGTAGGGAGGTCTCACAAAACTTGCCAATGTCCCAGCAACAGCAATTCACCCACCAGGCAGCTGGCACCGTTTCTCAGCATGGTGATTCCAAGACATACAACCTGAGCTCCTGCAGCGAGCCTGCTCTTTGGAAAGTGCATTTATAAGCTGGCCAAGTAGCCATGGAAAGATGTTTCCAGCTGCAAACCGGCAGCGTCCTCAGCTTCTCCCCTTACCTCATCGGGGAGGACCCTCTGCCAAGCTCTCAGCTGCCGTCCAAATGCTGCTACATCTTGAGTTTTAACAAAGCACTTAACAGCCCAGAGACAGAACATGAGTTTGCAAAGAGGTCTTGCCTGGCACTAGGCAAAAATGCTGTTTGCCTTCAGTGAAGGGATAACCTCCCCCGAACAAGACTCTTCAGCCCCTATTTCCACCATGGCCTAGCCTGCCATACAGTGGCTAACGCTAGACTGGTAGAGCCGAGAGAACCCAGGTACTCAACCAAGGAGGAGCTATGCACAGGCTCCAAGAGGTCACACCACTGAAGCAGGTGGATATCCACACCGGCTCAGAAGTACACCCAAGTCTCATTACCAGACACCGTGCCTCAGCCATCATACTGACCACCCTCTAGCATACCCTTCATCCATGCAGGCCCCACCTGCTCTGACCTCTTCACCTCTGGATGGGTTCTCTCCAACTCTGTTCTACAAAGTAGCCAACAAGGCTTGTTGAAGCCCTCCCTTTGGTTCCCACTGCCAGATAAGATATAGCCCAAAGGGCCCTGTGACCTGGCCCTGCTACCCTCTCCAGCCCCATCGCACTACCTCAGACTCAAACCTTCAACGACTTCAGTATTCACCTCCACCAAGACACTTGTGAAAGCCAGATCTCTGCTTGGTGAAGCCAAGTGTTCTCCTGTCTCCCAAGAGTCCTCTCGAGTCCCATGTCTCAGTATCCATTTAGGAAAGCAAGTAAAACCGTCAGTAACGGAACTCTCTGACCTTAGATCTGAGGCCCCACTGCTGTCGTCAGGGGTGGAAGTTCAATGGGCCTGACAGGAATGCCTGTGTCAGGTACAGTATTTACATCGTCTCTGGTCAGACCATGAATGCTGGGAGCCATCAAAACCGCCACCTCCTGCAGCAGCAGAGAAGCTGCCAAAGTCCACATGCCAACACTGAGTTGGGTTCCCATCTGGGCCTCAAAAGATGGTCTAATGGTCTAGCTGAACTTAACTCATGCATGAAAAAAAAAAAACCCTACCAGAAGATAAACGTTATCCATGCTGCCCCATGCCCTAGGCTCCGAACCTTCAACTTTGCCCTAGCCAGGCAGAAGATATTGTTGACCCAAACCAGATGCTCTGGTTCCTCCCATTGCCTCCAGACTAGGCTCTCAAGTGGCTACAGAAGGACCACACTGAGGAGTGAGGAAGAGTTAACTTCCCTTGAGACAACTCTGGCTGACGAAGGATTAAATACAAGAGGGAGCCAGCAGGTACTTCCTTCAAACACCTTCTGTAAGAAATCGTCCACAGGCATGGAGTCCCCACAGAGGTTCCACACAGAAGCAGGCCCGAAATGGCAGAGGAGCTAGCAGACCTCCACCAAGGGGGACCAGCTTGCTAAGGTACCTCCTCATTGTTTCCCCTTCATCTCTCCTTTCCCGTCACCCTGGCTGCCCTGCAATAGACTTTTCAATAAGCACTAAGCACTTAAGCCCTGCCTCCGGCTCTGCTTTCTGGGAACCTAGTCTAAGATAACCATGGTTTATGTTTCCAGAGATCTTTCATTTCTACCATCTAATTCTCACAAAAACCTTGTAAGCCAGATAATCATCTCTGCTTCATCTACAATACTCCTGCCTGGTCCACAGAGGATACATTCCAAGAAACCCGGTGCATGAAACCGCAGATAGTATCGAACCCTGCGGATGCTGCTTTCTCTGTGAGTGCATGCCTATGATAAAATTGAATTTGCGAATTAGACACAATGAGAAATTATCAACAGAACGAAACAGAATGGTTATAACAAGTTACCGAAATGAAGCCGCCAGCGTGGCTACTCTTGCGTGCCGGGGCCCACTACTTAGAAGGTTACTTGAGCGTAAGCACTGTTAATACCATGCAGTCAACCTGATAAGCAAGTGGCTACAAAGGATGGCGAGTCTAACAATGGGCAGTGTTCACAGCAGGGATACACTAAACAAAGCAACGATAGCCTGTGAACACCAGAATGGAGGGACGCGGATTCCATCTCAGAACTCAGGCGGACTCACCGTTGTTTATTTCTATGATTTTCCAATAAACATGTTGAGTGTGGATGATGAAAGCTAGGGGAAGTGAAGTCAGGACTAAGGAGGGACTTGGTGTATAAGACGTGAGAAAGATCGCTGTGGATGGAGGGCTCCCCATACACCTGACATATGTTCGCAAGCTAAGCCTCCCAACGAAGTCCCGTTCTGCTAGCCACGACCATCCAATCTCACATGTTACTTCATGGGACATGGGACTTCTTGAAATTGGGAAGTCATATTCTACTCAGATTGAAGACTTTCTCATGGAAGTCTCAAAGATTCACAAATGAAGTCCATGACATCCCTAGTTAGAGCCCATTAGGAAAAGGAGAGCCCATGGACACAAAATAACGACGGTTCCCTGAATTCAAGTGGGCAGTCATTTCAACTGGGCACAACTATGCGTTATCAGTCAATCCAGCTTTGACACCCAAGGAACAGGCAGGTACACCTACTCTGGGATAGGAAAGACCCAGAGTTAAATCCTAGCTCCACCTGTCATTTCCTGGCTTTGTGACCTTGGACAAGTCCTAGACTTCCTGATCCTCCTGCTCAGGAACTGAATTAAATGACAAGTGTCAGAAAGCCGCCAACCACTGGGCTGATTGTGACCAGTCGTCGGCACCAAAAGAATCACAGGAACATGAGGGGAGCTGAAGTGAGCAGTGGCTCGGCCCAAGTTAGTGGCTCTTGGAAGGAGGAAGGTCCATGAGGAGGCAGTGAAGATGCAAGAAATGAGGAAACGGCGGAAGGTGAGTGATGCCCGCATCCCAGGAACGCCAGCAGAGACAACATATTCAGTTCAGGAGAGAGCAGAATCAGGTGTCACAACGTACTCAACCCTCAGAGGTGACCCTAGAATTGCCTGGTCACGGGCCCTAAAGCCCACCAAGGACAGTTCCCCCCGGCAAAGGCCAGGAGCGCAACCAATACTCCAAAATCTCCTCTGGGCTTCTGACCTGCTCATTCCATGCTCCTACAAGCACAAGCCTTGGGGACTCCACTACGCCCTGGCTCCCAGGAGTGCCAGGTACAGAGCAGGCAATCTCTAGCAAGCACTTCCCAAGAAGTCTGGAGCAGAGACTGGCCTGGACCAGGCTCACACAGATCCTACCAGAGCCAGGGAATCACTACCCAAACACTTCATCCTCTGCCCTGCAGTGATCCAGCTGAACAAAACCCCTCTACTCTAAGAGGTCCAGTCCAGACCTTCTTACCCCACTCTGCTCTCACCGAGAAGAAAACCTGTCTGTCTATCCCTCATTTCACGTCCCCAGCACAAAACCCACAGACCACAGGACTCCACGGTCCCCTTCGCTCTGGGAGAGGACGGTGTCCCACAGGTCACAGGTCTAAATGACTAGGTCTGAATGGCGTTTTTCAAAGCTGAGCTCTTTTTGCAGTTCTCGGCTGGTCCTTCACGTGCCGGCATGACAGCATCTGCTGCCAACCTCCATCTGCATAAAATTAAGCTCTTGACAGATCCCAGAAGCCAGGGACACACCTCCCAGGCCTCTGCACACTATCAGCCAGCGTGGCCGTATGTCAGCCAAGGCCTTTCGTCCAGCCTCAAACCCTCCCAAGGATGTGGGAGGGTACACTCAAAAAGGAAAGCTTTCTCAGGAGATGAGAAAACCCTCAATTCCCTCTCTCCACTCACACCTCAGACTTGTGTGTACTCAGTCTCTCTCTGATGAGTACCCACATACAGGGCTCCTCCCTGGGCCGAGGCTGGTTGCCAGTGCTAAACAGCAACCTCAGAGAGATTAGGAGCTGCCTATGGGGAAAAAAATGCCTCCTCCACCTCCTCTTCTCCCTTGTTCTAGTTAGTCAGGCACATTCTAGCCAGATATCAGGCATACACTATTCAAGGAATGGCCCACAATCTATTATGGGCCATCCAATCTACAGATAAGTAAGCCACTCTCTACATCACCTCACAGCAGAGCCTGTGACATGGAAAAGGAATATCAAAGGCCACATACAATGCTTCCTTAAGTTGGGTTGTCACCATATCTGCCTGATGAGCCCTCCAAGTACTAAGGAGGGTTAGTATGACAGAATCTTCGGGATAAGGCCTCCAGCCAACTCCATCCTTGCAACGTGGCTTCACGGGCTGGGCCACACAGTGGACAAGCTGCACTGTGTGAGAACAAGAAGGCCCGAAAAGGAAAGAATCCAGAGGTCAAACATCCTGTGCATGGAGAGAAGCCGAGTGGCCGGGCCTTGGGGCAAAAAAAACCATAGTGACAGACTGCACCTTGGACATTTCTGAGGCAGCTGAGGTACAAGGTAAAGGAAATCCTGGTCAGTTTAGCAGAGAACTCAACCATGGATTGTTGCAGGTGTGATATAAACTCAGAACAAGCAACAGACTGCAAAAGTGCCCTATATTCTGAGCTAGACAAAGCGTAGGACATTTGAGGGTGCCAAAAGCTACAAAGTGGTGCACCCAGACCCTGCCCTTAGGTCTTTCCATCCATCAGGAGGACCAGGTGGTCTGCACAAGCCTTAAAGTGAGATTCTGCGGAGTGAGAAGGCCAACTCAGGAGTAATTCAATGCTCTCTCCAACAGCATAGTGAATGTCACATTAGAACACAGATGACAGAGCATCCACCTGTACTTCCCAGTGACAACCAGGGACAGAAGTGCCCTTGACCCACGCTCAATGAACTGCTCCAGGCACAAGTTTCTCATTCCTTGGTGGTTGGGGCCCTTGGACAACTCTTCCCTAATCGGCCCTTTCCCCATCACCTTGCCTCCACTAAAGTATCGCAAAGATGATGGCCCAAGTTTGTGCCACACTGGGTGCTTCCTAAGTGACCACTCCAGTCCGCAGGAGCTCCTGCCCTCTGCCCTGAGACATTCAGACATCTACCAAGCCCACACAGTCCAAGCTCCCTAGCAACCCAGTACTTACCTTGCTGCTCCTCTAGACCTGAACTTTCTGAGTCTTTCCTCTGCCTGCCTGTCTTTGCAGTCTCCAGGCACACTGAAGGCTGTTTGTTCAATTAGTCAATCACCACGGGTCTCCGCAACTACCGAGGGAAAACATCAGAGGTTCGACAGGGATGTCTGACAGAGAGGCGGAGGCTTTCTGATATAACAGCCCATAAAACTAGCGGCACCAAGCTAGTCCCTGCTAGGCTTGGGAGTCAGAGGAGCAAATCTCTCTCACTCTAAGCAGCGGCTCCTCCGGGGCCAGGCGGGCGCCTCCGCTTTAGATCGGGGTCGACTCTAGGGTCAGGCCGCCCTTTCCCGGGATCCTGACCCCACAGGCTAGCCAAGTGTCCGGCCCGGCCGAGCCGCACCGGCAGGAAAGGCGCCGCCGCCGACCTCACCGCCCTGACCCTAGGAAGGGACACGGGTGGGACAGGAACCGAGGCGGGTGCAGAATCAGGGTGCGGGACGCGGGGCGCGGGGCTGTGTGACCCCGGATTCAGCTCCCGGCTCCGCGCAGGACAGGTTCGCACCACCTGGCCACCCCGACCCGCGCCCGGCACCGCAGACGACCCCGCAGAACCTCGCTCACCTGGACACGCGCAGCAGCCGGCGTTTCTAGAACCTCCCGCGGCGTCGCCCCGGCGTGCTCAGCTCCTCCCTCGTCCGAGGCTCCACCCGCTTGAGCCGCCGCCACGTCCCCACCTCCCGCCCCCCCACCCCCGGGCCCGCCTGGGCCTGGCTCCGAGCCACTGAAGCCTCGGGGAAGGCCTGAGCCGCTCGCCACGCGCTGCACGTATGCGGTGCCCGCCTCCCTGCAACGCGTGGGATCCCGCACGACGAGCGACATCCCCATGCCAGCCATCCCCGGGCCCTCACGACAGCCCACGTCCTCTGTGGTCCTACCTTCCCCACATCCAGCACAACCGGCAGATTGCAGGAGGCTGGCGTCATTGAGGACGGGAACTGAGTGTCCCAGGAGACTTGAGGAAGAATGGTCTGAGGTACGCACAGGGCAGGTGACCCATCTCCAAAGCCTAACTGCTTCTCTGAGAGACTTAGGCTGGCCCTGCTAGGACTCTTTTGGAGAGGTGAGGAGATGTTGTCACAGCCTGGAGCATCCTGTGGCCGACCTATGGCTTATCACACAAAGCAAAGTGATTGGACACCTCAGCCCCCCAGCCGGGCCTGAGAGACGGACAGCCAAGAAGAAAAGGAAGCAGCCTATCTTAGTCTGAACTAAAGGATGCCCTGGCGGCTGAGCAGGTTCCCACGCCTGCCCTGTGAGCTTGCCTCTCCATGAATGAGGAGAAGCAGTCTGAGAATCTCATCAGGGAGCAGAGCCCAGAACAGAGATGCCCAGCCTGTGGGACTGCATCTGGAGCCGGGTGTGGATTCCCTATAATGGCACGGTCCAGGCGGACAGCCCAGACTGGGAAAGACAGACACACAAAAACACAACTCAGAAAATACCACTCAGCCACTATCAGTGTCTGTGTTAGCCACCAGCCAGAGCTCGGATGAAACCAAACACAAACCTTCCCACATCTGCTGTGCCACGGAAAGTAGTCTGCCCAGATCTTCCCATGCTTTCCCGATTCTCTCTTCGGACGTCACCCTCCTCCTTTCCATGGGATCTTTCCCATTGGCCTATAAATACCTTCAAACCATGGCTGTGGAAATATAACCCTCAAATCACCCTACCACCTACTGTGCATCCCTCTGCAGCCAAGCCAGCAGGCAAAGGCCCTCTTTTTGACCTCTCAAGCCTTCCAGCTCTACAACAGCCCCAAGCTAGTGTTCTATACTATGTTTATTGTTTTCCATATATGTATGCTCTTTTCAATATATCATCTAAATCAGCTTGCAAGTACTTTATTACTGCTTTAGTATTACTGCTTTTTCTTTATCTGTTTAGGTTGTCTAGATATTCTCGGCTCACTGCTAGCCTGTATATTAGTGACTTTCTTCATTGCAGTAATAAAATACCCCAAAAGGCAACTCTGGAAAAGAAAGTTTTGTTTCGGTTCACAGTTTGAAGGGACAAGCTGCCATGACAGGGACAGCATGGAGGCATAAGGAGGCTAGTCACGTGGTGTTCACAGGCAGGAAGCGGACAGAGATGGAAGTTGGTGCTCAGCTCTCTTTCTTCTTTCTTTTCTTTTTCTTCATTCCAGAACCCCAGCCCATAAGACAATCCTATTCACATTCAGAGAGGGTCCTCAGTTAAGCCTTTCTGGAATGCTCTCAAAGACACACCCAGAGCTGTATCTCCTAAGTGAGGGTAAATCCCATCAAACTGGTAATGAAGACAACCAAGACATCAAGTCTTATGGTCTATGAGTGTGCTGCTAGGAGTCGACTTTCCACTTCATTAGAATTCAAGCTTTCAGAATGCTCCCCAGAGCTCCTGACTTTCAGTAGTATTAGAAGTGTATGTTATTATCTCCTTTTTCATCTATAATTGTATTAATTTGCATCCTTTCTTTGGTTAAGATAACAGAAAAAAGGCTCTGTTAACCTTGTCTAGCCAACCCTTTGTTTCATTGCTACTCTGTATTGTTCCCTAACATCTGTGGTAGTTTGAAGGAGGAAGGTCCCTCAGGGTCTCAAGTATTTGAAAACTTGGTTCCCAGTTGGTAGCACTGTTTGGGGAGGGAGATGTGTTGCTAATTTGCTGGAAGCAGCATGTCACTGGAGATAGGCTTTGAGATCATATAGCTCGATGCTACTCCCTGTTTGCTCTTTCTGCTTGTGCTTGTGTTTGAGCATGTGAGCTCTCAGCTTCCTGCTCCTGCTGCCACGTCTGCAGTTGGCATTATGCCTCCCTGCCATGACGGACTGTAAGTAGAGCTTCTCCTTTCCTGCAGCTGCTCTCAAATAAACAAACTGAGGCTGATATTAATTATAAATGCTCGGTCAGTAGCTCAGGCTTATTACTAACTAGCTCTTACATTTTAAGTTAACCCATATTCCTTATGTATGCTTGCCACACGACTTGGTACCTTTTTTCAGTACAGCACATTCATCTTGCTCCTTCTGCATCTTGCTGGCAACTACAGACTCTGCCCTTCTTCCTCCCAGCATTCTCCAAGTCTGGCTCTCCTGCCAAACATTATTTTGCTCAGCTATTGGCCAGTTAGCTTCTTTATTAAACCAATCACAACAACATATATTCACACTATTCACACAGTGTAAAGGAATATTCCACAGTAATGAACTCTTATCCCTCTGGAACCCTAAGTCTTAATAAACTCTTCCTTCTATAAGTTGCCTTGGTCATGGTGTTTTATTACAGCAACAGAAAATTAACAAATACTGTCTGCATTTCATTAATTTCTGTCCTGATCTTTATTATTCCTTTCTATCTTCTAATTTGAGTTTGGTCATAGCCTTTTCCTTATGACCAATAATCCAATCATTCTCCTACTTTTTTTCTCTTTCCCTAGAAGTACAAAGTGCCTTGGCTACTTTGTGATATAACCAGTCATGTGTTTTCCCCTGTGTTCTTGAACTTAAGCTGGGGTCTTAACATTCCTGTCACTAATAAAAATATTTAAGTTTTTGTAGTAAACACTGAATGAAATTAAACACAGATCTGAGCCAATTTCCTTTTATATAAACCCCATACTCTGATACCCTTGTGTTACAAGAAGAGGGATCAGGTCCTTTATTTGTCCCAGCTAGCTTACACCCGAAATAACCACACAAAAACTGTAGTAATTAAAACGCTGCTTGCCCATTAGCTCTAACTTCTGATAGGCTAACTCTTACATATTAGTTTAACCCATCTCCGTTAATCTGTGTATCGCCACATGCCATTGGTTTACCAGAGATTCTAACCAGCATCCATCTCTGGCAGAAGATCCATGGCATCTCTCACTCTGCCCTTCTTCCTCCCATCATTCAGTTATGTCTTCTCTGCCTACCTAAATTTCGCCCTAACAACTAGGCCAAGGCAGTTTCTTTATTCATTAACCAATAAAAGCAACACATAAACAGAAGGAACTCCTATACCATTTCCCCTTTTCTGTTTAAACAAAAAGGAAGGCTTTAACTTTAACACAGTAAAATTACATATAACAAGACAGGTATCAAACAAGAATTACGGTTACAATATTTATATCTACTTTATCTTTTATCATAACTAAGGAAAACTATAATTATAACTATAAATTCTTCAACTCCATCAAAGACTCCAGAAGGATATAATATTACCTAAGTAAACAGGAAGTGCATTGTAAGCAACTTCTAAAACTCTAGAAATGACAAAGACATTTCGCTGCCTGGACATGTACCTAAAGTTCTTTTTTACCATTGGGGCATCCATCTTAAGTCTACAGGCCCATAGTATCCAGCAGACTTTTCAATGAAGTAGGAAATTTTAAAGACAGTCCAGTCACTTTCTTCTGTATCCTGCAGAATGTCTCACAGACTCTTTCATGAAGCAGTAACCCTGAAGGATCATTTCACCTTTAGGCAAGTTTAGCAGTCATCTTTCTGTGGGTTCTTCATGTCCAGTTTATGCAATAGTCCAGGCAAGAGCAGTTTCTTGCCCAAATGGCTAACCAACACCCTAAGGAGCCTCTTCGATGCCCATCTTCCTCAGGAAGTAGCTGGTGCTTCCAGGAGCAGATGTGTCTTTTTCATTGTCATGAAAAGCCCTAAGTTATTAAAACATTTTAAATGCCATATTCTGCAGTCTTTGAAAGATATAAAGAATGTCTATCTATCTGAAATGAAGGCACATGTGGATAGGGTGAATCCAAATCTTAGCTGTATTCTAGTCATATTGCCTTCCACAATTTCTCCTACAGGAATTTTAATGGAGAGCGATGATATTATTTTAGAATGGATCTTTTTACCATATAAACCAAGTAAAAAATTAAAAACTTATGTAGAAAAAGTCTCTCAATAAATTATAAAAGGTAAATTGACACTTCGTCAACTAGCAGGTATAGACCCAGAAGAAATTATAGTGCCTTTCACTACTGATAAAATAAAAAAAGTTATAGGAAGACAATGAACCATGGCAAAGGGCTTGTGCTCATTTTTTGGGAGAAATTAATAGCAACTATTTCAAAAGTGATAGACTTAACCTTATAAAGAGAACTTCTTGGATTCTTCCTCAAATTGTACATGATGCTCCAATAACTGGAGCCCATACATTTTATACTGATGCTAATAAATAAGGCAAGGCAGACTACAAATCAGACGAATTGAGTAAGGTGGAACAAAGCCCTTATAATTCTGTCCAGAAGGCAGAATTATTTGCCATTCTTATGGTGCTAAGGGATTTTAAAGAACTTCTTAATATAGTTACTGATTCACAATATGCAGAAAGAGTTATCTTGCATATTGAAACTGCTAAATGTATACCAGATGATACAGAATTGACTTCATTGTTTATCCAGGTACAAGATATAATCAGGAATAGGCTTTGTCCTATGTACATAATACATATCCAATCCCATACACATCTGCCAGGTCCTCTAGTACAAGGTAATACAGAAATTGATCAATTATTGATTAGAAGCGTGTTGCAGGCCTCTGAATTTCATAACAAAAATCATGTCAATAGCAAATGTTTAAAGAAGGAGTTTTCTATTACATGGCAACAAGCTAAGGAGATTATAAAGAGATGCCCTACTTGCTTTTTCTATAACCAAACA